ACTGAAAACATCTGCTAGTCAGCTATGCTTCCAGCTTTACTACGCTGGCTTTAAATATAAAATTCACTTTACATCCTGAATCCTGACAATTCTCCTATGTTTCACTTTACTTAGGTTTGATTTAAATCCTGACCATTTGTTCAGCGCTTGTAATATTGAGCCATTTAAAAAAAAAAAATAATTATTATAACAACCAGACTGGGAAAAAAAATTCAGCCGGGGCATTGAAAGGCAGAGCAGCCCAGTAGGAGGGGGTAGGGACAGAGAGGGGTCAAACCATGTCATTAACAATGACATGCACACCATCTCAAAGTGAGTATGTGAGTTTAGTGTCCACCCAGACCATCTCATGTGCAGAGCCCCGTTGAAGAGTTCTCACATGGGAACAATGCCCTGTGTTTGTTTTACATGGCACAGCTCTGTGCTTGCTGGTGACTTGTCTCTGATGTCACTATACGAAGGTACCAAAGTACTAAAGTAGGACATAGCCAGTAAAGGTTGTTGTGCATGCGTGGGGAGGCTGTCTGTGGTGCAGTAAGTGTTTGTTGACTGATTGTGGGATTGTGTGTGTAGAGGCAACTGTTTGTGTTGAAGTGTGTGTGTAAATTATTCTGTTTGAGGTGTTCTATGTGTGGCTGTATAGATTGTGTGTGTTTTTCTGTCTAGCAGTTGTAGAAAGAAAGCGTAAAAGCATTTGTTTGTATTTGTCTATGGGATGTAGTGTTTTTAGAGGGTTTAATGTGTGTGCATGTATAAGGGGATTGTTGAGTGTGTATATCTAGAGGCTGTAGTGTGTGTGTGTGTACAAGTGCTGTAATGTTCATGTTTATGTATAGGGGCTGTAGTTTGTGTGTTCATAGCAGTGTCTGTATAGGGGCTGTTGTGTGTGTCTGTATAGGAGCTGTAATATGTGTGTCTAGGGGATTTAGAGAGTGTTTGTGTGTCTAAAGGGTGTAGAGTATGCATTTGTCTATAGGGTGCAATGTGAGTCACTAGGGTGTAAGCATTCAGGGTGGATGCAGAGAGGAGGAAATATTAATATTAATAAGAAAAAAATCAATTCAGAAAAAAACAATTATATATAATTTATTTATTTTAACCTCCATTTTGTTAATACTTTAACTTTTTGCCAAGGGGGATTGAGGAAATCTTGGTAGTCCAGTGTGCTTTCTGGCTGGTGGCACATTGTTTCAGACATGGTCCGGCAATAGTGAGAGTGCTGACATGGTAACCCACAACCAGGGCCGGTGCAAGGATTTTTGCCGCCCTAGGCAAAAGAAGGATTTGCCGCCCCCCCACCCCCAGAACATCGCAATTCCCCACCCAAATGAACTAATGCCAGTGCTGCACATTAAAAAGCCTGCAGGGACAAACTATAGACACCAGAACAACTTTATTAAGCTTCAGTGGTTCTGGGGACTATAGTGTCCATTTAATGTGAGGTAAATTAGCGATTAGCGTCACTAATAATATACTAGATTGCCTACTTACAATCAGATGAGGATGGTGATGGGCTCTGGCTGCAGTCTGGCTCCACTGGTCTGGTGTAGAACAGGATCTCTGGAGGCTGTTTGTAACTGTGGTCACAAAATTCAATGTTCTGGGAGAACGGGAAGCAGCTCCATTTTTTGGGACCTCTTACATAGCTCAAGGTCTGGGCCCCAGGGCCTGACGGTGAGTATGCCTATAAAGCCCACCCATAAGTCCACCTACATGTTCCACCCATGAACTCACAGGGAGTAGAGGGGATGTGTTATGTGTTACTGTAGAGGATCTAATGTGTGTGCTTATGGAATGTAGTGTATAGGGATACCAGTTTGTGTAGGTGATGCAGTGTGTTTGTGTGTAGTGGAAGCAGTGTGTGTGTGTATAAAGGGATGTATTGTGTGTTTCTTGTTGTGTGTAAGGGATGCATTGTGTGAATCTGTGTTTGTATGCATAAGGGATGCAAAGTGTGTTTCTGTGTATGTAAGGGATGCAGTGTGTGTGTCTGTAAGGGGTGCGTTGAGTGTGTGTAAGAGATGCATTGTGTTTCTGTGTGTGTGTGTAAGAGAAGCAGTGTGTGTTTGCATGTGTGTGTAAGGGATGCATTGTGTGTTTCTGTGTATATGTGCAAAGGATGCATTGTCTTTATGTGTAAGGGTTGCATTGTGTGTTTCTCTGTGTGTAAGGGAAGCATGTTGTGTTTCTGTGTGTGTGTGTGTGCGTGGTGTGAAAGAGCTCCCTGTCCCCCTGTCCTATAGAGCTCTCCCTTCCATTCCTTAGAGATCTCTCCTGCCCCTTAGTGGTCTCTCCACCGCCCCCTCCCTCCCCTACGTTCTCATCTCCCATCATCTCCCCCCCCTCCCTCCCATCATCTTATCTCCCCACCCCTCCCATCATCTCATCTCATCTCCCCCTCCCATCATCTCCTCTCTCTCCCCCTCCCATCATCTCATTATACCCCCCCCCCTCAATCATCTCATCTCCCCCTCCATCATCCTCCTCTCCCCCTCCCCTCATCATCTCCTCCCCCTCCATCATCTCCTCTCCCCCATCATCTCCTCTCCCCATCATCTCATCTCCCCCCCTCCATCATCTCCTCTCCCCCTCCATCATCTCATCTCCTCCCATCATCTCCTCTCCCCCCCTCCCATCATCTCCCTCTCCCCTCCATCATCTCATCCCCCCTCCATCATCACCTCTCCCCCATCATCCTCCTCTCCCCTCCATCCATCTCATCTCCCCCCCCTCCATCATCTGTCCTCCCCCCCCCTCCCATCATCCTCCTCTCCCCCCTCCCATCATCTCATCCCCCCTCCCATCATCTCCCTCTCCCCCCCTCCCATCATCTCCTCTCCCCCCCTCCCATCATCTCCTCTCCCCCCCTCCCATCATCTCATCTCCCCCTCCCTCCCATCATCTCATCTCCCCCTCCCATCATCTCATCTCCTCCCCACATCAGCTTCTCCTCACCTCCCTTGCACTGTAGCGTGGCCGAGCTCCTTTCCGGTCCGCAACCCGGCGGGACTGACAGGAAGTGCACACTCAGTGTGCACTTCCTGTCAGTCCGGCCGGGTCGTGGACCGGAAAGGAGCTCGGCCACGCTACAGTGCAGGGGAGGTGAGGCAGTGCAGCAGCCGCCTGAGCGCTCTCCATAATAGAGCGCTCAGGCGGCTGCAGAATTTAAAGGGCCGGCGATGGGGGCGCAGGGCGCCCCCTCCTATATGGCGCCCTAGGCGGCTGCCTAGTTCGCCTTATAGGAAGCGCCGGCCCTGTGTGTATGAATGCGGTGTGTGTGTGTGTGTGTGTATGAAGGCAGTGTGTGTGTGTATGAGTGCAGTGTGTGTATGAATGCAGTGTGTGTTTGTGTGTGTGATGCAGAACCTTGGTGGGAGGTGGGCATTTTTATTAATTTTTTTAAAATTATTATTTTAATATTTTTTTTTATATTATTAATATTTTATTTATATTTTATTATTATTCAAAATTGTATTTATTTAGATTTTTTCATCCCCCCTCCCTGCTTGATACTGTCACGTATTCATCCGCTTATAAAAATGTGGTTAATGACATTTACTGTCCACACAGGAAAAGTTGTGCCGAGCAGCAAACTAATCCACAGAAGGGTTAATGCTGAGCAGCAATTATGCAAATGAAACCTGGTAACTGACTTTGGGGTCAAAGGCCGGTTACAGCCTATCAGAACTAAAGGAGGAGTATTTAGGCCCAGTTCTCAGCCTGCTCAGTGCCCTGTCGTGGTTTCCCTTGTGGTGGTCTGAGAGCGCGTTCCTGTTTATAGTTTTCTGCCTGGTTTTTGACTTTGGCTTTGTTTATTGACTTCTCTATATTCTGGTATCCTGACTCCTGGCTTTCCTCATCGCTGCGTCCCTTTCTGTGTTCCCTGACCTCGGCTAGTATTTTTGTCTATTCTATGTACGTTAAATCCGGCCATTCTAAGGACCGGTAATACGTTACTTATTTGTCATCCGTGCTGTACAGTTCTACGTGCTGGATCAAACAGTAATCCTGACAAATACATGGCCAGGGAGGGGCTGGGAAGGAGGGGGGCTGACAGAGAGCTGTAACTTACCTTTCCTGCAGCTCCTGTCAGCTCCCTTCTCTCTCCTCCGGTCCGGTCAGCTCCCCTGTCAGCTCCCCTGTTAGTCTCGTGGTCTGACTGCCGCGCGGAGTGTTGCCATGGTAACCCGTGGCAACGTTCTGACCCCACGGCTCTTGCGAGACTTATAGTGGGAGCTGACAGGGGAGCTGACCGGACCGGAGGAGAGAGAAGGGAGCTGACAGGAGCTGCAGGAAAGGTAAGTTACAGCTCTCTGCCAGACCCCAACAGGACCGCCGGGCTTGTAATGAGCCCGATGGTCCTGGTGTGTATTATGGCAATGTAAGTTGCCATAATACAGACACTGACTCGAGTATAAGACGAGTGGAGGTTTTTCAGCACAAAAAATGTGCTGAAAAACTCGTCTTATACTCGAGTATATACGGTAATAAAACAAATAATTTTTTCCCACATAAAAACTAGTGTGGTGCTGCCCCAAATGCCCCTATGAACAAACCTCCACTGGTTCTAGTATCCCTTTTGATGTTTCTGATATATTTTGGTTATTCTGATTTTGGTTCATGCTGACATGCTGACATGCTGTTTTCTGCAATCCTTGACAGTATTTTTTTTAATTCAGTAGATTTACAAAGTAAATATTTGAATGAAAATTATAAGGCAAATGTGATGGAACTCTCGTACTCCGGCTGCATACCTCTGCCAGGTCTGCTTTCTAGCTGCTATCCCTGGAACTCTTACGAACCAGTCAGAGAAGCTTGACTCAGTGCGCTAAGGACCTCTTCAAGCCTGGACCAGGCTACAGTGCATGTAGCTCTGGAGACCCTCTCTCCTGTACAGCAGTGATTATAGCTTTTTATATAGCCTTTCCCCAACACATTAAATGAATCTGAATGCAGGGGGTAGAAATAATCTTTATTGCATGCAACAGAGCTATTAAATGGTACAGTTTCACTTTCTCTGCAGGGGGTCTTTCATAGAACACAATGTACTGCACATATGCCCCTCCCCAGCGCCTCTCGGTCTGGGGACTAAATCCCCAGCTAACTCAATCACCTCTTTGCTGTACCCTCACAGTGCTAAAGGCACAGCACACAAAATGTCCACTAAAATCCTGTTTCCTTGTATCGTACCAGAAACACAATATGTATGCCTTGTCACTGAGTGTCTTTGATGTCCAAACAGCACCTTGATTACTCTTGGTTACTCTCCAATCTTGCAATGAGTATTAGGCATGCGGCTTAGTTTCCAAAATGGAGTTCCTGGACCTCTGGCAAGGGAAGCACCATAAAACCCCAGGTATCATGAGATGCCTCATTGCCTCCCTGACCTCCCTGCCAAATAGCGCTCATTTTTTAAGTCAGGGGACCGAGCGATAAAGTTTAAAGTTTGATCACCTGAACACAGTCCCAATCGAGGAACAGCTCCATGATATTTCAACACCGATCAGGCGCTCAAAGTATAAAATTGGTCCAGGCAATCCCCAGAGGTCCTCAAATCTGGTTGGGATGCACAATAAGCTTCCGTGGCATCCTCGCAGTGACATCAGCCTATTTTTAGGGGCTCTTGAGACCAAGCCCATATCTGTGGGCAGGAGGATAGCCTTCACTCCTCTTCAGAAGGCTGTGGCAAGAGAGTTTCTGTCAAAGCTACAAAGGAAAACATCATTATCTGAGCCTGATGTCCAAGTCAGTTTAACACACGTATCTAATTATTCTCCATATTTTTGATATTTGGATTTCAATTCACTTAAGTTTGGTGTTTAGAGAATAAACCCCAAAGTGTCAGAATAGTGCATAAATAGTCATTGTTAGATGGCCTGTACATTAACTACCAGAGTACCCAATATTCCAGATGTCTGTAACTGCTGTGCTGTGGTCATAATCACCAACAATTTGAAAAAGCTGACACTAATGAATGAGGATTGAACATGTTTGGGCAAGCTAAGGGTGACTTCAGAATAAGATTAAAAATAAATTCAGTAGCTTGGCTTTGAACTTAGCTGCTGCTTAAGGAGTGTGGCCATAGGTGGGGCTGTTCCGAGAAGTTTTAGGTGATTACTAATAACTTAACTTACAATGAGAATAATTTGTCTCTAGTGCAACAACAGCTTGATCAGCAGTGAGTGGCATTCCTTGAGGTGTATGACACGCTCTGTCTAAAATTCTGAGAAAATGCAGTGTTTACATTACAGCCTAGTGATAACTCACTAGCCACT